TGTTTGCGGCCTACGCCACTTATTTATCGGGTGAGACTGTTTTGGTGATGTATTAACTTCACGGGAGGTAGACGACCGTCCTTCACACGGACGAAAGAGGGAGTGCTCAAAGAGCGGCTCCCACAGCAAGGAGGGGCCCCGTGAATCATCGCGGTGCCCCCTATCAAACGGTTATCTTACCAGTCTGCGTGACACAAAATCATCCAGCACATGTATCCAACAGCAATGTTCGCAGACTCACGAACAGTACACACTACCCGAGTCGACTATACAAGGAAGGGCGTGAGGCCTTCGATGACTGCTGCTGCTGTACTTCCACATGCCGAGAGAGAACGCATCGCACATGCTATAGGTGGTGGGGGAACAAATATAACTACGCCACGCACTTGACGTTGGAGTTCCTGGACGTTTCACCCTCCCCCCACTCATTGCCCTCACCCCCCATCGGTGTTTGCCATCGGGATTGGGTTTTCGTCGCTTGGCAACGACGTTGTAAAACAAGCCAATTCACTTCGTGAGCTCGGCAACCAGGTTACCGTTTGTTTTTCTACCTCTGTTTTTTTTTTTGGCGGTAACAATAATGGTGGTCGAGTGGATCATGTTGTGCAGGGTGGAGAAGCCTCACTCCGCGCTAGGGGGATGATCGCACCACGTTGTGTTACAATGGTCAAGCACCCCCAAGGCAGTTACACAGTGCTTATACTTGTCTCTGGAAGTGAAAGCACCAAAAAATAAATTAAGTCTTACGCAGCCGTCATCCGTACGCAAGGAAGTAAGCACAAGATGCTGAACACCCATAGCAGGATGCAGCGCACCCTTCATGCGACTCGCCGAATATCTCACGGCGCTTCGCGCTTGGTGATGTGAGAGCCTGGTCCGGTGAGAACCCGGCGTGCTCCGTCCCGGCTCTGTAGGGATGCAAGGTCAATGGTCTAACGACACGGCATGGACGACTACGAGTGAGTACACTCCCCCCCACTCAATGCATCCAACCACCTTTTAGAAAGTAAACCAACCACTTTCTCACCAACCCCCGGCCACGCGTTGGTAAACGGTTAGAACATAAGACAAGTGTAGTCTAGCATAAGAGAGAATGGAGATTCAACGGAAATTCGGAACCCTCCATCATACAGTCTAGAAGTAGAAGCAATACCCCACACTGCCGCCGTCGTGCCTCTGCTGCTACATACTACCTCTGTCCGAGAATATAAGCAAGGTTTGGTCGTAAGGCAAAATACACCGCGAAAGCGAGCTGTTCAGTGGCCGTGAGTTCGATCCTGGGTTCAAACACCTTTTTTTTTCGGAAAAACGCTTTTTTTTTTTTTTTTTTTTACGCCTTCCCTTCATTTTGGCCCCTCGAAGTTGCTGATTTTTGCCACTCTGGAACTTTGGTCCCGGTCAGCACCAAAGAACTATCGAAGATACTTCGCAACGTGATTGTACAGGTTGTTCAAGTACCCAAAAATACAAAGAAAAAAAAACGAGGAAAAAAGCACTATTCATTGCCGCAAACGAGAGAAAAAATGGGACCCCTTTTTCCCTACTGAGCGCTATGGCAGGGAAATCAATGTTTCTCCGGGGAGGGGATGAAACCTTATCATCCCCTCTTATGTTGGTTTTTTCTTGGCCGCTTATCATATCCGAGCTTGACGCAAAAAAATAGGAAGGAAACGGTGTCCAAAACACCTTGAAACACCTTCATCGAGAAAGCTTGCTTATATTCCCGGATTTCCAAACCTTGCTTATATTCTCGGACAGAGGTAGTACTTCGGATCACAAATGTTCCACGCCAAAGAAAAAAAGTGCCGGAATTATCCCTGCCCACATCACGCGTGCGGGGGGGGGCTACTTCCCCCATGGATGCGTGTGATATGAACAAGTGGCAATCATGCATCCGCGCGACGCTCTTACCGTGGCCCCTGCGATGCTCGGCGGCGTGAAGTAAAATTCGTACTGTAAAGAAGAGGGGATGCGGTCGGTCGCAAGTGGCAGAAGCAGCGAGAGGAGAGAGCGTCACAAATACCGGTATTCAGGTAGCGGCTACGCAGGAAAGTCACACACGATACTACATGATGGTCATGCTGACACGCACGACTGACGCAGAAAACCAAGATACGACTTCCACAACAGCAGTACTACAACTGCTGTTCGTCAGGAGGCACAGTCCAGGGCTAATGTGCGTCAATCTACTGCTGTACCATGTAAAATAAAGCAGTACTCTACATTATGCTGTAGTGCCGCAGATGTATCTTCAAAATAAACTACATACGCAGGTGCACACATGTATTTTGTCGGCAAATATCCCCAAACTCCATGTGCCTAACCTGCCAACAGAATACGTTAAACTTGTTTGAAATACCTGGGCTGTGGCAGACGTGGTGATGGTTGTCGCCGCATTTCCGGCTACACCGCGCTCAGCGTTCTGTGGTCGACATCAACGGAGCAAAACACACAATCAAACTACTGGTGTACAGCGGAGTGCTGTAGTTAGTTAGAGGAGCGCGTGGAGAAGAAACGCCGCAAGGAGGCGGGGAGTGTAGGTAATCACGGGAGCGGTGACGGTAGGTATCCAATGTATTAGGGTATCCACTGTGGAATGACGCGGAATTTTGACCTTTGAGGATTGACGCCAACATCTAGTAATGGTTTGAGGGTGTTGACGCGAAAAAAGTCGCACCGAGTGTGCCCGTTGGTGCCTAGACTATAGGAGAAAAAAAAAGAAATGGTAGTGTTGACGCAACCCAGGGAGGGCCGACATGCTGAAGCGAAAACTCACAATCCCAGGCTTGCCCCAGGCTCCCAGGGGACTGAGTGTCTACTCCTCTGCCTCATCCCGCCGACCTTACTTCCTTTGCCGCCGTGACTTCCCAGGCGTCAAACCGTTGGTGCTGAGGTATCTGCTCGCTGCACTGCTGCTGCTGTGTACCAATGTCACTGAGGCAGCAGAGCGCCCAACCCCGTGAGGGGGCTGGAAAGGGGCACCTACTGACCGGCCACGTCCGTGTACTCTCCCCTACTCCTTCATTTGTGTTCCGTTCGAGGGCGGGACTCCTATACGACTACTGCCTAAGCCCCTTGTTGCTGCTGAAAGCCCGTGCGCAATCCTGACGGCGCACCTACCGAAGGCGCGCGCCGAACACGCGAGTCAGGCCACTGCGACGCCGTGAGAACTCTCCGACGCGTGTGTGTGTGTGTGCTGGACCGCTAGGAGCAACCAGTAGGCGTGGTCAATAATGTTTTTGCTGCTGACGGCGCTCCTTTCGTGATTGGTGACGGTAGCAGAGCAAGCGTGTGTGTGGGAGTCTGGCGATGTTTGAAGTGTCATTCTTGTCGCGTCGCTTGATGTTTCGACGGTTCTCAAAAAAAAACCTGTCTGAAATGACAATATTTCACGTCAATTCAACAACACGTGGATTCCCTCTCGTTTCTGCATCAAAAAATATATATTCCCTCCGAGCCGAACACCCGGCACTAGACAGTATGTACCTTGAGCTGCAGCCCACTCTCCTCATCAGTGGTGAATGCCGTGCCTACAACGGCTTCGATGAAAACAATGTTTGAGCTGGTTTGAAGGCCACGATGGTCGTGGTCAGGTTCATGGCTTCCGGCAAACACGCCGCCACTCTGTCCGAGTAGGTTGCACAAGCCGAAAAGTCGTGCCGCTTTGAGCACCGAACGAGCATCCATCACGCCGACCATGGGCACTGCTGGACGAGGCGGTAACAGAGACCAAAGTAACCAAGGACGATGAGATTGTGCAGTGTGGCATGTGAAGTCGTACAACCGTACAACAACCGATGTGTTACTCTGAATGCGCAGTGGGTGTCCGGCGGATCCATTAGACTAATACCCGAAGATCGCAAATATTTCGCAAAAAATAGCACAATTCGAGAATTCGACAAGCCGGGCGGGGCGCCCCGCTTCTCTCTCACATGCCTCTCTAAAAAACATTTTCGCATAAAAATTGTTGACGCCTCATGGCTGCGAGAACATCGCGCTTTTACCGATGCCCTCGTGCCAGGGGGAGGTGGCAAGAACTTGCAGACAACGAGAATCAATTAACGAGAACAGCGGTTGAAATCGTCGCGTATTGTTGTATTTGAATTTTTGGTTCAAGTATCCTGAATTTGTTTTTCTATGCAGACCCCTGATCGAGCTGCGAGCCGCTGGCATTGTTGTGGCCGCCATGTACATGTGCTAGAACGCCGCAGTACTCACGTGTACGTCGTCAGATCTATTGTGCCTGTCCGTCTTGCACACAAAACGAGGCAAAGCAGAAAGCAGATGCCTGTACATCCATGTAGGCCCTCTAAAGACGGCAGTGATACCGAGGAGGGAAGGTTGAGATATTGTTTTGAGGTACAATGGCTAGACTAAGACTATTCCATATCCGGGCCGGTGGCCGCGCGAGGATATGTCAGAACAAGATTTTGATTGATGATGGTGTGGACAGCAGGAGGGAGATTGCCGAAAAAGCTCGGCCCTCGAGAGGCGAATCTCATTCGACAAGAAGACAGTGAAAGGCAAATGGGGTGAACAGAACTTATGATCAGAAGACACAGCGAACCAAGCCGTGCGTTGGGGAACGTCGTATTTTTCTAACTGCTGCCGTCGCAGGCCCTGCACGATGACCATGCCATGTGGGACCCGGGACAACGGGACAGCCAACCACCGCTGTACCACAACCAGCATACATGCGCATATGTGTGCACACACCTCACTCATACGGCATTGTCTACGGGTTCGAATTACGCATAGCGGAAACACCTACCTGATGCGCTGCGTGTTCCAAGCGGCTCTGTAGCAGCGGGCACAGAGTGTGTACTGGCTGCAACAGAACACTCAGGTCACGACCTGTGGCGTGGGAAGAGCGAGCGGGTGTGGGAGTGGGTAGACGGTAGGGACAGCTGGTTAAAAAATTCTAAGCCCTTTTAAGATCTTGCTCTTTCATGCTTGGTGACAGACTAGACTACCGGCTCCGACTCAGAATATCCAATAACTACCACGTGGTCGTCCTCGTCGAGCGTCAATTTCGACAAGAACCCCAAAACGTTGACGGCGAATTGAATATCGCTACACTACTGCTATGTTACCACCGACTGGGTGCTGCACGCAATCAATCTGCTGCTGCTGCTGTGCCGCTGACTTTTTCTAACTCCGTCGTCACAACGTTTCGTCACAACTTTTCGTCACAACTTTTCGTCACAACTTTTCATCTACAGCAGCACGCACCAAGCTGCAGCTTGGAAGCTTGGATCTTTCAAAATCAACTCGGACAGCCGCACGAAGTTCACAGTCAGTCCCGTTTTGGTCGGACGGCAATTGCCGGGATGTGAAGATGCTCATGGTTCATGGACCATCCGGTACTTTCGACAGGTTGCGGGAAGCATTCGGCAAGCGCCGCGGGCGGAGAGACGCGTTGCCGTTGGCACTCCTGATGATTCGGATGGATGTGCTTCGTACCGTCGTCGCGACACCACTTCAACAGGAGTAGCAGTATAGTCTAAGCATGCCTGCAGTGTAAGTATGCCTGCAGTCACAGGTGGCCAGCGGGCACGGTTGTGCGGGGGCGTTGTGCAACCTCCGGCCAACCAGGGGTTAATCACATGGGATAACTTGGGGGGGTGACAGGCCGAGCAGGCATAACATACCGTGTTATGAAAGAAAGCGGTCATGCGCGGATTGGTGGTGAAGGAGGAGAAAAGAAAAAAATGGTATGTGTGAGCCTTCGGATTGGTGTGAACGAGGAGAAAAAAGAAAAAATATGTGCGAGCTGTTCCCTCCTTTGCTAGACTACATCGTGTTCCAAACTTATTTGCATTACATTCACGCGATACATCGGCGGAAACTTACTCTCTTTCAAGATGATCGGTGAGGGAAACATGGCGAAAAGGTGTACCGAACCAGCAACTTGTGCCGACAGGATTTATTTGACGAATGACCGCTACGCTCCATGTTGAACTATCTGAACCTGTTCACAAATAAATGTGTACTGGTATTATGTTACTGGGGGTGATAATAATGGTGGCAACACCACCCACGCGGCCGATAAGAGCACACTTATACTCTGCGGTCCCCCCGACGCAAAAAGCAGAAACTCCGAGTAAGAGCCTGTCTTATCTGAGTTATTTAAAACTCGAAATGAAGGTCCGCTCCACTTTTTGGTTCAGAAACAGGGGAAGGTAAATTTGGGTGTAATGCCCGGGTGATTTAAATCTCGGGAGGGTGGTAAAACGCGAGACTGTCAAGAACTCGCTACCACCAACGGCACAACCAGCACCACTGCTGCACACGGATGAATCGAGGTCTTCCCAGCCTCCTCCTGCTGGGGTTGCTGAGCGCAACAGCGAAGGGGGTGGCGTCGACGGTAGCATCTAACGGCACAACCAGCACCACTGCTGCACACGGATGAATCGAGGTCTTCCCAGCCTCCTCCTGCTGGGGTTGCTGAGCGCAACAGCGAAGGGGGTGGCGTCGACGGTAGCATCCTCTGGTTGGAGAATGGCCACTTCGCGGAGTCGTCTTGTGGCTGTCTTGCAGCATCGACGCCGCGTGACGGAGGAGTCGCTTGGCGCCGATGTCGAAGCAGACGAGGCCAACGAAGAGGAGCGCGTGGCTCTCGGTAAGCGACAACTCGAGGCCGTTGTGGCGGCGACAGCCCGGGCTCCTCAAGTGTTTGATGCCCGCGATGCTGAAGAGGTTGAAGAGGACATGCGCAGAGCCACCATGTACAAGCAGCAGCTGAAAAAGATCAAGCCTCTCATCCCAGGCGTAGGGCGGGGTAAGAGCGAAGCCAACCTCCTTGCTTCGCGTAAACGGACTGCCCTCGTGTTCCCCGCGGAACAAGGCGGGATATACGGGGCGCACACCAGCAGCCAGATCAGGTACAAGACGGGGTTCACGAAGGAGGAGTTCGACGATTTTTTCGCCGCTACGCACATCGACAGAGAGGGGAATTTGCTGCCCCGATCTTGGTTTTTCCAGCAAGCTCGAAACAACCTCGGCAAGCACACCCCTGAGGAGAACCAGGCTCGGCGCACGATAAGAGGTAGCATGAGCGATCAAGACAGAGTGCTCTGCTATGTTGAGATGCTGAGGAGGGACACCAGCTTTGAGGATATGTCGCTGAAGTACGGACGCTCCAAGGGCACCTGGTCGAACGAGTTCCATGACATGACCATGGCCGCGCAGGACATGCCTTGTTTGCAACAGGTGATGAACATGAGGTCATACTACGTGTTAAGGTATTTAGAGTCGGGGGATACGTTCCCGTTTAGATTATAGCATAATAGTTGGAGTCACTCGCTTGGAGCCACTCGCCAAGATACAGGCGCGGATTGACGCATGCAGCTTGAGAGGTGAGGTCAGCTGGGATCCAATATCCAATGTACAGGCTCGGGTCATAGCATGTACGAAGTAGTTTTGAGAGGTTAGGTCGTGGCCTGATTTTAGTGTCGCAGCAGCAGGAAAAAGCCAAGAATGTTTGCTCTGCTAGGTAAAGCCCCGCATTCACTTGCCTTGGTGCCTTGGGAGCCTTCCCTGCTGCTTGAGAGACTCGAATAAACGTGAGTGAACCCTAGGTCCAACAACCTGCCTTGCGGTTGTGGTCGGGTGCGCCCCACACTGCCTATCTGACATCAAAAGCTCCCTTTTGTCAAAAAACTTCGTGCTCTCTAACGATTGTCCAGGAAATCCAATGGCCGGACGCAGTGGAGCGGAAACATCATGCTGATTTCCTTCAGCGATATGGCCACCCGGAGTTTCCTCGCATCGGCTATATCGCCGACGGGACGATGGTCGGCATGCGTGATCCGGCGAGGGTGAGACGTTGTAAATAGATCGTAACCTGAGGTCAATCTTAGGTTCCCCTTAGGTTGGCGTTTCCATGTCCACCTGTATATTGGACATGTTGCTGCGGGACCAACGCTCGAAGAATCCAGGAAGTACGCGGTAGAATGGTATTGATTTAGGGACAAGCTGCTGTCGATATGTGTACCAGTGCGAGATGGGCAAGGAAATCCTGAGTTGTGCTGTGCATGTCCACTTAGAGACTTGGTTGTTTCGCACGTCCCACCAGGTCGGCAAGGGGAAAGAGGAGCCTCGAGAAGCAGTGCACGCTGAAAACTATTCAGGCAACAAGGGCCTTGGCACAAGCCACATCGTGTTTGTCAACATCCGCGGCAAGATTATCAGGGTGTGTAAGGTTTCAGCCGTTGTTTGTCAAAAAGACGAGTATGTTCCGTGAACTCCTAAAATCGTGTGTGTCATGCAGGTGGATCGCCGCCCGGTGCTTTAGGCTCGAGCAGATGTACAGAATGCACGCATTAATTAGCATCGTGGTCTTTTCTACAATCTGCGGCACGCGTGATCACGGTTTACCTAAAATTAGGCCACCGCGATTGACACCTGGTGCGTACTTTCGTCTCGCCGAACAAACCCGATCAGGTAGAGACTGTGCGCGGGTCCCTGTCAGACCGGGGGGCGCTTCTCTCCTCTGACGTGTTCTCTGGTGCGTACTTTCGTCTCGCCGAACAAACCCGATCAGGTAGAGACTGTGCGCGGGTCCCTGTCAGACCGGGGGGCGCTTCTCTCCTCTGACGTGTTCCAACACCCGGACCAGTTCCTCTCCGCTGACGAGGTCGGGATGGGAGACGGCAACTACAGAGGATTAGCCCGTGCGGACAGCAATGACATGTACATGTGCGCGCCCCACCCCGGACCAAATGTACCTCCCGAGGGCAGGAGGTACAACAGAGAACAGCGCCGATTCCGAGTCGTGGTCGAGAACACCATCGGCCAGATCAAGAAGTTCAAGACCGTGGGGAACGGCAAGGCCTTCAGGCACCAGCGCGACTTCGAGAAGCACGTTTTCAACGTGTGCGCCAGGCTCACAGCTCGCATCATGAGGGTGCGAAACAAGTACCCAAGAAGCGAGGCGTGGATCGGGGACAAGAAAGAGGAGTGGGAGGCGAAGCTCGGTATCCACTACTACTGGGACTACGATGAGCCGGGATGCTACTTGATCCACAACGAGGGCGAAAACTTGGTATACGACAACACCATCGAGGGAACTGCCGAGGGCCTGCAGGAGGCTTGGGACGCTATTTGGTTGATGGACTGAGCTTTTGTTGACCTTCAGCACGCAGTCGACTGGATGTTGGGCTGGACAGAGTCGGGGTGGTTCATCTGTGTAGGCGTAGCCAACCGATATCATAATAGTATTGGGCTCCATACGCAGACCGAGCGACGCTTTCATTTCATCGGTATTTTGCTGGGTTCTGACAAGCGGCGCCTTGTTTGTCGAACATAAACCCAGAACACGCTTGTTCTGTAGATTCGTATCTACAATGGTAGCAGTGGCTGTAGAGTGGTGCCCAGAACACTCTTGTGTTGTAGTTTTCTATATACGGCAGTGGCTGTCGCGCGGTGCTGACGGCGGAAAACTTTGATTTGGGGCGTACGATGTTGGCACGCCGCAAGTACTAAACGTCCGGTCACTGGCATGTTTTGTGGGAGGGTCTGTAGAGGGTACTTTGAGTCCATGCTCCCAACGACCCTTCCAAACTTGCAAACGCACAACGAGGGTTCACCGGTACTTGTGAAGCTAGGACTACTTCGGCCGTTCTGCGAACCCGTTACCTACAGAATCAACGCGCTTCGTCCGAGAAATGGACAGCGCGGAGCGTCGTGAACCCACTGCTCCAACTACTCTGTTGTGGCGACAAAAGAGCTTGAAAACTGCCTACATTGTGACAACAAATAACTATGTATTCCGGAGACCTGAACCATGTATTCCGGAGACCTGGGCACAGACTCGTGGGCGCGTCCGTTCGAACAAACGGTCTTGCACACCCGCAATCGTTGGAAGAAACAAGGAAAAAAAAGACAATCGATACTGCTGCTCACTGGACAAAGACTACACGTAAGGCGTGGGACGGGTAGGAGAGAGGAGCTGCTTGAACTCGGGTTATAACTAAATTCCTACGTCAGGTAGCAAGATTTCTGCACAAACTTAGCAAGTCTCTTCGCCACAAGAACTGGCACATTCGCCTCCTTCAACGTCTCCCAAAAGTTTTTGTCTTCGGCCATGGACACGAGCTCGTCAACGCTTGGCACGTTTTCCATGATGATGTCGCGAACGGCGACGGGAATGTTGGGAAGCGCCACCCAAAACTCCTCGTACGAATCCCACTGAGTGATGACGCCGCCCGGTGGTGCCTTGAGCGTGTTTGACAAGACATCCATCATTTCGGCGTGCTGTAACGATCGCGCGGGCAATAACACACCGAAACACAGGCAGGGTGTAAAGATTAAAGATGTAGTGACGAGCATCCTGCGTGCGCAAGAACGGCAGGCGACGCAAGTTGGGCGATGCAGCAACTTGACGCTGTCACGTCCAAGTAAGCGTTGGCGAGCAGCAAAAACGCCAACACGGGCCCAAGAGCCTTGGCCGACACACTTTCTCATGTCTACGTCCAACATTTGGCGTAGTCCGATCGCTACAGCAGCAGTCCATAGATTCTAGCCAGACCATGTACGGTGCAGCGAAAGAAGAGGATCTGTGTGCGGGTTGTTGTCGGCGGGTCCGCCACATCTATCAAGTGATCACCTGCACGTTGGCTTGGGCGAAACGGTCCTCAGCCATCTTGGTTTGCTGCCGCCGATAATCGTCAGTCTTCTGATCGCGGGCCTTGGCGTACTCCGCGCTTTCCTCCTGCGCATCCAAGGCTCTCTGGGCGAGAGCCGCTTGCTTTTCAGCGAGCTCTACTGTCTTCCCGTTGCCTTGGGACATGCTCTCGGCCTGGGCTTGAAGACTTTCCATCATGTCACCGACGTTGCCAGCCGCTGCGGCTTGGTTTCTCGCATCTTCCAGCTGATTGCAACGAGCACAACAGGCAGTTGGAAAGTTGTGATGGGAGGGGAGGAACTATGTTAGTGGCGCCCGTCACGTGTTTGGATCTGCAACAATCGGCGTGCGTACCTAAAGAGAGCGGCCCGGGTGTTGTCGAAAATCAAGAGCCCTAGATTTAACGACAAAATAAGAAGACCCCAGACACACGTACATACTTTTCGCTGGGGGGGGGAGGGTTGCGGGCGGCCATCCTTTCACGAGATTGCCCACAACCCCGCCGCTGCAGTCTCTGCTATGACAATCCCCGCCCACGCAACATGAGAGGGGGGGGGGGGCTCTTGCAAATCACAAACAATTTCGATTTTGACCGTCGAACATCACAGAATGCACAACTCTCCTTACCCGCTGTGCGCGGGCCTTTTGCGCTTGGTCGGTTGACTCGTTCCTGGCGCTTGTACCGTCTCCGTCGTTGGAGGAAGCCTTGTCTATCTCCTGTATCGCTGATATGATTGGGGACATGGAGTTCCAGAATTGCCCAGTGGAAGTGCTCTGCGACCTGCGCAAGAACACGACGCAAGACCGGGAAAACGCACCGACGGTCACAGGGCAGCAGGTCAGGGGAAATTCGACGTAGGGTATTTGTCTTCAGGAATAAAATCAAAGGGTCAGCGGAAATTCACCGCGTCAAGTGCTGGCTTCGTATGGAAAGATTGGGACAGAAAGAGGGTACTGGACAGAGAGACCGGGATGGTTTTAAATATGACGACAACAACAACATCGCACCCATCACCCCTGCAACTCGAAACGAATCCCCAAAACTCACTTCTTCTTTTGCCACTCGTTCTTGGCGTTGGTGATGAAGTGCTTGGAGGTGTTCTTTGTCGGGAAAGTGGCATCGCCGTCGTTTGCGCATCCCCACTTCCTCCTGTCTTCGAGCGGAAGTTCCAGCCACTTTGCGGCGACGGCTTGGAAAAGCGGCCTCTGAGTCCTATTGTACTCGGCGTCCGTGGTTTTCCAGTAAAACTTACGCCCCGTGTACCCGCCAGCCCTGGTACTCCTCATCCGACTCAGAATCTCCTCGAGGCACATACCCCTGAAGACTAAATTCATCCGTCGGGAGCCGCTGCTTGCTCCGCCACCTCCTTCCTCAGTGGGGTCGTCAGAAGGTTCTCCGGCACCACGCAGAACGTCCGCTCCTGCCGCCGCGAGAGGGGCGGACGGGAGAGGAAGCGGGAGCGGCGGTGAAGGCGGGTAGTCCTCCCGGCGCCGGAGGGGCGGAAGAGCCGATGCCAGGAAGTGCCCCCGCTCCCGCTGCTGGTGTGGCGCGAACGCCGAGCGTCGCTCCCGCCGCCACTCCCGCCGCAGCCTGTGCCGCAGCGAGAGGGGCGAACGCGGGAGAGGAAGCGGGAGAGACGGTGAAGGCGGGTAGTCCTCCCGGCGCCGGAGGGGCGGAAGAGCCGGTGGCAGGAAGTGCCCCCGCTCCCGCCGCCGCTCCCGCCGCAGCCTGTGCCGCTGCGAGAGGGGCGGGCGCGGGAGCGGCGGTGAAGGCGGGTGGTCCTCTCGGCGCCGTAGAAGTGACCACCGCTGAAGGAGGGGCGGAAGTTGTCGCGAGGTTGGCCCCGGCAATCGATGGGGTGCCGGCTTGCGTGGCACCGTCTGATCCATCGTGATGCCCTGAGGATTGCATACAGCGGCGGTATGGACGCAGACACGGCTCCTGTCAACAAAATTGAAAATTTCGTGCATACACCAGCACGTAGATCGTGCACGTAAATCGTATTTACACGTTTGTGCACACTGCTGTGCACCTGCACACGGACTACAAAATGTCCAGCGACCTGTGACGCTCCCAAACATGTTCAAACATGTCCACTTCAGTGTTGCCACATCTCTCTACAACAGACATATTGTCCATGCTGTCCGCTAACCCTAAGCTGACTACGACACAAGCGCCACCATTGCAGCAACCCGTCATTGCCGTCTCGTATCGCGTCCGATATATTTTTTGAAACGCGGTCTCTGAATTTGAATTTCTCTTTGTCTATGTACACATGTTCTATGTACAACGGCCTTTTGCCGTGCTTTTATGTAGCCTGGATCATTTTGCAAAACATGTGCCAGGCGGTTTACATGCAGTTCAAACATCTGCGAGACAACACAGCAGTTGGGGCTTGGGTGTGTACAACGTCATTAGACTGCTGGCAAGCTCACCGTTCAGCACCCACGGCGTCGGGGAAGCTCGCTCCGGTATAACGGCCGCGTTCCGCGCGGGAGCCAAAAGCTTTTCCTCCTGCTGGCGACGGTCCTCCTCTCGCCTCTCTCTCTGCTGATGCTGCAACCTCTCTGCGACCGCATCTGCCACGGGACGCCCAAGCTGCTGTTCCACCGATGGCGACTGCCGCGCCTCGCAGCGAAGGCGCTCACCCTGCTGTACCTCGCTTCGTTGGGTTTCTTGGGGCGGGTGCTGCTGTTGTTGTGTTTCTCCTGTCATCGGGTGATTGGTGGCGTCCATCTGCATACGAAGATTCTCGTAACAGTACGCCATGGTATGCAGACGCACAACACCCTCACCGGCTGTCCGCTGAACGTGCGGCAGCCCGATCAAGTCCCGATAAGATACGGGCTCCAGTGCCGCGTGGGGGGGCCAACACGCGTGATCGATCGGGTATGTTGGAGGAACCAACACCGGGGCTGTTTTCCGGAACAGAAATGTAGCTTCGGAGCTCTGGAGCCCTGAAGCTACATTTTTCCAGAAATGAAGGTTAATTTGGGTTACCTTCCCCTGTGATTTAAAACTGGAATTCAGCTAAAATTTTGGTTCTCCAGCAAATTAAGGTTAATTTTCGAGTTTTAAATAACTCAAGTGTTGTGACAAATAAGTTCCTCCGCTTTTTTTTTTGGCGACCTTCTTCGTCAGTACGGGTCACCCAGAGCACGGAGAGTGTCGCGGAGAGGATGTTCCGGTAGAGTCTTTGCTGCTGTAAGGTCGAGAAGAAGAAACGGCACAAATCGATGCGTCAGGCGTGGCGTGTGGTGGATGTACCGTTGCACAGAACTACGCCGGGTCATCGCTACAGTAGTTCTAGATTAGAGGACCCCCCCCTACAGCCTCNGCCAGACAGCATTCAACCGCGGTGAACTGTTGTCCTACTCACACTGCAGCGGGTGGTCCAAGAATTGTCCGAAATCTTGCTCTGTGGGCGCATAACCAGAGCTGCCTCTCAGTAGAGCCGGTACACCAGGATTGAAGGGGTGCAGCGCACCCAAGCAGCCCAAAACAGCGGGGGCTGGGCTTGTTCCGATTGTTAGCGTGTTGGCTGCATAGCTGAGGACTTCGTCTTTCTCCAGCACTTTGTTTCACTGGGGATTTCGTCCTATCGGCTACGAAATCGTCTATTCGGTCAGCAGCAAAAAAACGGTCAAATTGATTGTTTTTGGGGGGTTCGCACCAGATGACCCGCGGCTTTCTCGGTTCCTGTGGGAGATCTGTGCATGGCAAAGAAGCGCCAGGAGGGGGGCTAGGCCTGTGCTTTGCCTGTGGACGTCCCGGCAGCCGCGACGGGTGCTCGAGCAGGTGAAAGCACGTTAGACAGGGGAAAATTGGGCGGAGCTGGGCGAGTGGTTTGCCATAGTCTAGTAGGGGAAGAGTGGCCTCATGAGCGCGACCTCTGTGGAGACCCTCTCAAGGTGGGAGAGTGCATCTGTACACGGCCCGACTGCGTCGGCGGGATGTACAAAAAGTTCAAGAGGCACCGAGAGAAGGAAGAAAACGGGTCTAGGGACAACATGGTGGTTGGGCAGCTGTCACCGATGGGCCGATACCCTTCCGCAGGCTTTCAGGTATTATGTGATGAAGTGGTTGACGGAAGGGTTCCCTGCAATATGCACGTTGAGCTTTCCTGAAAAGTGCGGTGTCGGGTACGGAACTTGAATCGCATTCTAAAGGGCAAACCATCGTGTAAGTACAAGCTTTTTGGCATATTTTGTCGTTGGGGTAGGGCATGACATACACAAAATTACGGCCTGTTTATACGACCTGTTCACTTCTAAAAACCGAGGCGCTCCAACGAAAGGTTTCCGTTGCTTTCGTCCGCTACACATCCCGCCTCTCTTCAGGTAGTATGTGGTCCGTCTAATGGACAGTTCTGCTCTGCTGCCTGCCCACAAAGTGGCTCATAGTCGGTGTGCTCATCTCTCTCTCTTTGCTATGTTTGGCCGATGTTACAATGCGCCCATGCGTCCATGTCATGCGATTTCAGGTGCGAGCTCTTCTGGAACACGTGGATGTAAAAGGCGGCGTGCTCGATTGCTGTGGCGCCGGACAGGACGCAGTCAGCACGGTGCTGACAGCGCGCGGTCTTCGTGTTGCTACGAACGACTTAAGCCCCACATAAGCATATGTGTGTCTTGCGGCCTCTTTCGAGGCCACCACGCGCGGGTGTACATGCTGGCTTCCTAGACTCCGAGCCCCCCACCCTGCTGGCAGGTCTACCGTTGTCTAAAAAATCACACCACGGTTGATTTATTGTCTGCATGAACGAAGTGTTTCATAGCGTTTTGTTTCTTGGCAGCGTGAACGATGTGTTTCACGATTTTTTATTTTATTTTTTACAGGGAAGTGATGTGTCCCAAAACACAGCGCTTCTGGCAAGTACCTGGACGAAAAATCCCCAGAAACTGATGAAGCTTTTATAAATCCCAAACAATACTGTATAACTAACACAACCCCAACTCCCGGTCTTTCCCCCGAATGGAACACAAGTTCGAACAAACTACCCCTTCCTCCCCGGCGGGAATACAACTTGAGATACTTGCGTCAAACATGAATTGTGTCTCCATATGTTTGGCCTCCCTCTCACAGGTTGGTCGCCGATACCCACCTGGACGCCACGACGGATGCTTTTGCCGAGGCGTACGTAGAGGACACGCGCCGCCCGGACTGGGTGGTGACAAGCCCGCCTTACAAAAACTCGTTTTATATATTGAAACAGGCGTTGCTGGTCGGGCGCGTGGGAGTGGCATTCAAGCTGAGACTAACTTTTCTCGAACCTGTAAAAAGCAGAGGGCGTTGGCTAAAGGATAACCCTCCTGACAGGATTGTGATGCTCCCGCGCGCTACTTACCGCGGGAGGAAGTGTAGCTCTACGGAGGCGTGGTTTGTGTGGGAGGCAGTACGGGAGCAGAAAGAGCACACCAAACCCGCAATTTGCTTTTCCTTGCCTGGCTAAGGTCTGTTGCGCTCATGTAGGAGTTGTGAGATGCGGACCCCGTGCATTGGAGGTTACACCGTTTTCCTTTGTTTTTCCGTGTGTTTTCGTGCTGGTGTAGGATTTCGACGAACCGCCGTCAATGGCGTAATGTTGGGACCCCAATGATATCTTACGAAGCAGACGACCGGCAGTTGGATGGTACTGTTGGTCTTGGGCTGGTGTGTAACGGCGCAGGTCACATGTTGCAATCCGTACTCCCGCAGACGTGAGGGTCATCCCAAAATGTGGGCGACAGGTTGTTGTTGTTGTCTTCACATTGAACTACCGTTCCGGCTCCGCTGTCACCAGCCAACTACTTGTACCCAAAGAAGGGGTACACCTTTGATAGAAATAAAAGTACGGTAATACAAACCGACCCAACAAAAACAATATCCAAGCGCCATAATACAACATCACAAAAAGAGAAAAACTTCGGTCGCCAGACGAAGCTCATGTAGATCTATGCATGTAACACACCAGTCACGGAGCAAGAGAAGACACCTCTCGTGCGACGGGAGAACTGTTAAACAACAGGAACTTAGCAGGTCTACAATCCTGCCAGAAAAAAAAAGCCGCTGCACCCTCTTGGGATACTTGTAGCAACAGACTCGTATGCACAGTTGAGGACCATCGGTAAGCTGCGACACGGATGATAGAGCAAGACGTGCATGGAGGGCGGGGGGTGGGGGCGTGGGGGGTTGTGTTATTGGTGTAGGGTTAGAGATCAGGAAAATGGTGCTATGACACTCATGTTGTATTGTATTATCCATCCACGTACTGCTACAACACGTACTGCTACAATATGCATGTCTATGACATGCATGGTCGCCTTTGATGAAATGCAGGCACGGCCAAGGACGACCGCGATCGAAAAGTATCACGCGCATTTACGCACATGAATTATGACTCGTCGTAATCCAAGACGTCCTTTTCTCCTTCCAGCTCGAACCCGCTGTCGTCTATACCGTCTATCGACGCGTCGTCCTCGTCGCTGCCCGCTGAACCTTCCTCCCAAACGTCGTCGAAATTGTCTACGAAATAGGTCCAGGCGACGACACGAAATTATCGAGTTTGAGAGGATACGCAACATGATGGACTCTGCAAATTGAACAGCAGTACGCAAGTCGTACCACGAACTCTAACGCGTCAACATTACGTTCAGGAGGGCTGCACAACAACTCAAAACGTGAATTGTTAGGGTCAGGTTAGGATACTGCACAGGTGGGCGTCAACATCGGAGGAGGTAGTCATGTTACGAAAAAGTTTCAAAGTTTATGCCAGCCGTTCTCGACCAATCTTCCAAGCTCGAATATTTATCGTGCATGATATATTACCGTCCAAATCGGCGGCGTTCAACCCGTTTCGTCGAGAGCTTCCTCGAAGTATCGTTTTGTTCATACATGCTCACATACATGTGGAGTAATCGAGCTGCGGCAATCGGTCCAGGGGGTGTGGTATCTTGTGTAACCTACGGTAGATACCAGTGTATTTTTTTTCGTCTGCTACTGGGTGCACAGCTGTACTACTACTATGAACCCAAGTACTCATATGTACCTTCGCCAACCGCCGCACAAGACTTGAGCATGCAAGGGCAAGACCTACACTATCATCGCCGTGGGCGAGCGGTAAGACACAAACCACCTTTTTCCCAACATGCCAAAAAGGATTTGTGCAACCAACAGCGGAATGTCTCCAACAATTAAACGCGCTGTACCATAGCTCACGGGGGTTCGCCGCTGCACAAAGTACTTACTTACATCCGTGCCATCAGCAGCGGCTAGGGCGCGTAACATCATGGGTACAAGGCAACCGCCGCCGCAACTCGTGCGGCGGCGTACCACCGCCCCAGGTGTGGACCAGATGTGTGCGTACACACCGCACACACGACACGCTCGCCGCAGCATGTTCACGTTGACACACAGGTGTTCTGAACTATGCCTACTCGTTCACCACTACAGAAGTATCAGCTCCGGTATTCAAGCGTGGGCTTTGATCGCGAAGCCCCTCGCAAGAGAGGGGCAGAGGCGACCAACATGATCTCACAGACGCGGAGTGTTTCAATGCGCTGGTCAAGTTCAACTTTACGTGTTTTTGGAAGGTCACACTTGAGATGGTCAGATATAGTGGGGGATAGAACGCTTTCAACCCAAACCACTGCCAATGGGTAGTCACACACCTGCTTCACCGTGACCTGCTCTCCTGATACGGGATTACGCTCGGCCTAGCTGAGCAATCCGGCTGTCCGTGACCGTGTTCAGTACGCGGCGCGTTTATACCCCAGTACTAGGGCGAAGAAGCGCGCACCAGTAAATAGAAAAGCCTGCAGAACCAATCTTACAAACCCTGAGCCCTGAAGCTACATTTTTCCAGAAATGAAGGTTAATTTGGGTTACCTTCCCCTGTGATTTAAAACTGGAATTCAGCTAAAATTTTGGTTCTTCAGCAATTTGTAGACCGCGGTAACCTCTACAGCAGCTCCCCGTTTCGTCTCACAGGAGCAGCTGCAGTGTGCCCTCTTCCTGTAGCTTGCTACTTCTGCGAACAAGTGTACTCCACCACGTCACCACATCTCTCTTCTGGTACCCTTTCCTCCTCAGAAACTTCCCCGCTAATTCTTGTTTACTTGCCACTGTACGATTCAGTCCCGCGCCACAAACCCCAGATTTCCTTCGTTCAATCTTACACATTAATAAGGTTAATTTTCGAGTTTTAAATAACTCAAACTATCAAGAAAATATAAAAAATAACAAAAAGATGACGCCAAACCAAACAATTCTGCAAAACCCGCCGCATTGTTCCGAGCGGGTATTTCCGCATAGTTGATGGGCAAGCGCCAGCTGGCTGGCACGCGCTGCCTACCTGCTGCATAGTCACTGTTTCCGCTCATTTCGCGAGAGAGGAGAGAAGGAAGAGAGCCCGAAACAAGCAGCAGCAGAAGCAGAGGCAGCAGCAGCAGCAGCAGCAGCAGCTACGACAGCCACGCCGGGGAGCTGAGACACGGCTGCCGGGCACCGCGGAAGGTAAGCCGTAGGGATGGGATCTGCGCCCGGCTGATTCCAAGTGAGCGAGGTATCCATCTCATACGATACCTGGCGGTCAAGGGCACCCGGGCTCACGCACACGCTTTGACATCAGTAGCCTGTTGTACAACTTTCTTGTCGGGTGCGTTGGGTGGGCTTTGGGTTGCCGTCCTCCACCTTCTCTTGTTGCGGAGGCTGCCAGCGAGGCTCCTTTGCCTTGTTTTGTCCTTCCTTCATCTTTTCCTCCCATATTTATTTTTTACTTTGCCGCCTCCTGGTCCTCCTTTTCCGCTTTTTCTTTTATTCCTCCGCTTCGTGGAGCAGTTGAGCTCAAATGCTTTCCGGCTCAACCCCGCTCCTCTGTGCATATCTCTAGTGTGCCCGGCTGTCACCCATAGGCTGTTGTCTACAACGGATCCTTGCGTGCTTGGGGCTTACGTTAGTTTTCTCTTTCCCACCACAGAAATGATTCTTTCGGCTCCCGTCTCTGTCTTCCGGAGATTTGGCAAAATAATATTTCCGAGGACGACAAAAAGATCCACCAAGAGCGAGGGAGATGATGCGAAATTTATCCACAATACGCCGGCTTCTCACCGGACCAGGCTCTCACATCACCAAGCGCGAAGTACAAACGAGAGACAGAGTGCGAGACAGCATAGAAAATCCAGGACCTCGATCCCCGGCGGAAGTTGTGTGAGGAATAGTAGCAAAAGATAAACAAGACCTTGTTCCTCGGCGAAAGGTGTGTAAAGTTCACAACTTGCTGTATGAAGAAAAAGGCCTCACTTTAGATGAGCATTTTTTTCAAGTGATTCAGATCATCGCGTAATCCCCGATGTTGCGCGAAAAAAACTTGGTTGGCCAGCAGCTCAAACATGAACCGTGATACTCTCGATGTTCAAGTCCACGTTTCGAAGCTGCAGTGGGTCGAAATCTCAATGTTGATGGCACTCAAACCTACATGGATGGGTGCTTTTTACGTTCCTGTCAGTTGATTGTTACACTGCTATATTGAATCTCAACAACCGAGCACTGCTTTGAAGAAAATTATGATATGTTTGATATTCTTCATGAAACACATTGAAATATAATATGCTCACTTTTACTCGGCGTGCACGTCTGGCCTTTTCCTAGTACCTGTCAGTTCTACAATCAGCGAATAGTCACGCAGGATGGAGAACGAATGCTCGTCACCGCACCATAGCTGAACACCGCTTCCTGCCGCTCTTCCTTTCATCTCGTGCGTCTTTTTCTGCCGTGCAATCTGCAGAGCGGCCTTCGCCGCAAACAGGAGCAGCAGCAGCAGCAGCAGCAGCAGCAGCAGCAGCAGCAGCAGCGAAAATATTTGTAACAATTGGTGCTCCTTTACATCGGTGAAATGTGGCAAGTCTGAATTTATACCTCGTGCAGAAATTCCAATCGTTTACTCGAATTTTGATGCGTTCAGGAGTGGATGTCTCAATTGATCCGGATGCAGTGTTTGTTGGCGGCTGGGGCTTTGCAAGTTTCCTCTTAAAAATGGCGGTGTGTCTGAGTGTGGATGGACACCCCCCCTGGACATATGATGCGCTGAAGCCGTAGTACAAGCACACTTGAGCGTAAATAAACATGAATACCACCAATCCAATCGACCTGTCTGAACATGCCGCATGGTAGACCCTTGATTTGAATGTTGAGAATGAGGGGGGTGGGGTGTGAAATTGCTGTCGAATGGTGCTGACCGTGCACGATCAATGAACAATTGCAACGAAAATATTGTATTCGTCACTAAATGCCCTCACAGGTGAATGTAAATGTGACAGTGAATGTGAATGTACGTGTGAATGTACGGTGTCCAAGCAGCAATATACGGCCAAAAAGTGACGAAGAATGGTTTGAATTCGTGTTCGCGCTTCCTCCGTAATGTACTCGGTTGCTTATGATGTCGGTAATGACGATTGCCCTACATTCGCGACCTTGAAAACTGCATATCGCGAAGTAGTTTCGATACTGCCCGTGATCGATACTTCGAAGAACGTATACTCGTTTAAAATTGTAGACATTCAGCTCGCTTTTCCACTCTCAAATATGTGTGGCTGACGACATCGCTGCGGCAGAAGCAGCCGTCTGTGGTTATGGTTGAGAGTAATACATTCACGCCCAGCTTCATCCTTGTTTCCTGCGCGGGACAAACCAGGAAGGCTCGCGTTGTGCATGAACGTCATCGACGCCGCTACATCCTTCTTTGGACCATCCTTATCGCTGGGATTCTCGCCTGTAAGTTAATGCCGGGCATGGTTGTTGATGAGTGGGGGATGGATGAACTCCTGTGCGCTGCTTGTACAATTTGTATTTTGAATGCGAAGTAGGGCACATGATCAGCTTGTTTTTCGTGTTGTGTGCATGTTTCGGAGAATCGGTTCGTTGCGCAAGCAACTGTTTTGCACCCTTTCCGGTTCAATGGAGATGCGGCTCGAATATTTACGACGAGTCGGTACCACGAAGCGAAGCAGAACAGGAAACCGCGGGTTGGGTCGTTTTCGTGCATGCAATAAAAGTAATGACAAGATAGATGTGTGACCAAGGGAATAAACGTTCTTCAAGTTTTTGTCGTGTTCTCTCAAAGGCTTCTGACGTTCACGCGTGAGTTTGAGTCTCGGTGCAGCCACGCGGTCTGGGATTTTCCCTCTCAGTATACTTGAAAACGAAGGCGATTAATTCGTAAGTAACCACAACATCGAGTGAAATGTCCATGAGTGAAAGGGATGCCTGGAACCCTTCTCTCGATAACACCAAAGCCAGCACCGAAGAAGGAAGTGAAGAATACAACAAAATTCCTACATATGTAGGCTTCCTCCTGTCGTGTGACCCCGTCTGGAGCGTCTACATGCCCTGGAAGGCGCCGAGTGATCCAGGCTGTATGGGATGATAACCATCGAACACAGACGTACGCTCTCTAAAGTCCAGCATATTTCGACCCTCCTCATTAATTCCGATGGAGCTGCGCTAAATTCCGGAATCCGTTCTTCTCCTGATGAGATGCGATAATCTTAACCCATCCCCTGTTAGAAACCGAACTTTGTCGAAAAAAGGAATATTACGCTTTCACGTAAAGATTTGAAAGAGGTAATGTGAAAGTGAAGTACTGTGATACATCGGATGTTTGCTTGGTATGTTTAGTATGGAATGTGAGTCAAGACATTGAGGGCAGTAGGAGAAAGTTGCGGACTCTTGATCAAGCATATGTCGAATGCAAATGGATCAGGCAGGTGTACAATAAGGAATGTTTGCATGATTTATGTGTGATGTTCAATCTGCAATTGTCGGAGGGTAAGCAATAATAATAATGAGAGGTGATCGCGCTCCTATCTGAAACACCTGGATGCACGCACGTGTATTGTGACTACAGAGATAGTTTCGTTGCAATTTTGAAACGCACGAGACTGAGGTCCCAAAGGCTTGGACACATTTCGATCCCTTTGAGTTGAATGTAGGAAATCTTCCAAGGCTATCATACAGTAACAGGTGTGTGTTGTGATGTAAACATGAAATCAGCAGTCAATGATCATGACCTGAAACCGATTTTTCAAAGGTCGATGTGCCCGGTGCGATGGCTTCAAAATCGCAGAAAACCAACTTGGTGTTGCGACCACGAAGCCACAACACAGCCGCAAAAAGGCCAGTCATGGTAATTCAAACGATGCCCGTGGAGGGCGCACGGCCTCCGAAAAAATGCATTACAAAGCCAGACGTTGGCCTCAACCAGGCGGGCTCGTAGACCCTGGTCTCTCATCGTTGAGAATTCGGCAAGGAAATCTTGATGGGCTGCTCCTGTCTGCATGAAACAGCGCAGTTATGAACACAGCATTGCACGTCCATGTCTGTCTCTCACTGAATTCACAGGAGATTCCGCTCAAACAGAGCATGCGGTGCTTTTCCCTGGATTTAAGCTTCATCCGGGCGCATCGAATGTATGTCAAAACCGTGGAAGAAAATATATCGGGATCTTTGTGTTTTAAGACCAGTGTTTACGGAAATCTTGAAACATGTTGAAGTTTGACCAAGATCTTTTTGTCCGCTTCCTATGGGAGCAAATGTTCGAACTTTGGTCATCTGGAAGTTCATCAAAATCTTGTCCGGAGGCGGCGGGATTTTTAGGCTGGCCGACTCGCATAATCACAACCGACAACTGGCCCTGAATACTGAACCTGACGATACCTGACGAGACCGTAATCAGCTACGGACAACCCTAGAGTGTTCGCGTCAACAGATTAGCTGTTGCTTTGGGGCAGGACCTCGTTGGTTGCGCGAAGAAAAATATTTGGGCAGGGTGTTTCACGAACGTCCGAAAACAGCTGGTTTCCGCTTTCGAACAGCAAAAAATCCGCCGGTTGCGAGGATAGCACACCCCAACGCGGTCTGGCTCTCGCCCGCTAGACTACGTTTTCAAGTTCCAACTTGTTGGCTGCCACCTGCACAACCGTACCTCACCCGGGTGGCCATGGCTCGGCAGTGGGCGCACTTCGATCGGCAGCAAAGTGAATCGCCGTGTACACGAGTGTGCTGTTGTGTTTTGTTTTTTTGGCGGGTCAACAAGGAGTCTGTGGTCAAGTGAAGAAAAGACCGAATATTTGCACGTTTGACTTATTTCAGTACCCAACGATGCAGTTTTCTGCCGATCGCAGACGCCCACTGCAAAGTCATGCCCGCCCGGACGAGATACGTTGGTGGAGGTGGTAGCCAAGAAGTTGGAAACTTTAAAACGTAGTCTGGCGGGCGAGAGCTAGACCGCGTTGCGGTGTTCGCCTGTCGCGCGACGAATTTTGGCCGTTGGGGCTTGAAAAGCTCAATTTCCACCGCCTTGCGAATATTCGATCAGAACCAGATTTTTTCCCCACAGTGGCGGGCACATTATCTTCGATTGCCGAATGTTCGCAGCACAATCTTGGGCCAAACCCGCGACATATTTTTTGGGATTTTTTTGCCATAAACATCGGTCTAAACAGCATATTGGAATCTACTCACTCTTCGTAAAATCATCAAGTAACTGTTGTGATTACTTCGGTTTCCATCAGACAACTGCAGATGGATCCAGACATGTACACTACATCAATGCCTCCATGCCAATGGACTTGTTTGTTTATCGTGAAGAAATTTGCCTGAAACTCCTGCAACCTTTGCTCAAAATTCTTGGGATGCATCATAAATGAAACACAATTTAAACACCGAACCTACAGAGAAACCTAGGCCCCATCCCCCTCGGCACTCCCGACAACGTATCGAACAGAAATCCCCCCCCCCGAACTCATGAAAATACCAAAAACCATGGCCGCAGAATTGGTGGGGGCGCGTTTGTTGACCAATCACCGCGATTTCAATTTTAGTATTAATTTGGTGGGCAGACGGCGTATCAGAGTATACCCTGGTCGAACCACGACACGAGAGAGTACCCTTTACATAGACATTGCGCGCACGCATCTGATAAGCCAGCGCCACAGTTTACCCCATGCCGGCGTGGTTCGACCAGGATCAATACCCTGCTGCCTCATGCTCCGTCGCGAATTGCACCCTGCTGCTCCGAACCTGTGCCCTGCTCAGGAGGGACATCGCCGGATATAAGACTCTTCCACTCGATATTATCTCCGTATCCGAAACTCTCCAAGCACCCGAAAATCATCCTATTCTTCCTCTGACCACGTAACACGGCAACAAACCAAATATCCGGCGTCACGGCCTTAGCAGTCGGTTCCCAAGATCGTGTGTTTTATCTTTGTAACGCCGCAATACAAGTGTTGCTGTTGCTGGTACTGCTGCTGTCGTGAGCAGCTCAGCTCTCTCCCATGGTCGAAACGGCCGAATGACAAGTTGAATGATAAGTCCGCGGTTGGTTTTGGGTTTTTCGTCATCACCAGAATCACGGCCTTGTTAAATTCTCAAGACCCAACGGATGCCCCCCCTTCCTGGGAGCCGCGTTGTGTGTGGTGTGTGTGGAGTGGAGGCTTGGGCATGATGCATGTGGCGGTGGTGAGGTCATGGCGCTCTCTCTCTTGTGCAGGTCCTTACTGCTGTGTCTCCGTCGTCTGTTATCCCATGTGTGTCAATGGGAACGCGGGGTGCTTGTTCTGGTTTGTTTTATCCTGTTGCGTTATATCCACGTACAACCCAAGCAACTTTCTGTAGGGCCACCTTCTATGTATTCTCGTGACCTTACGACTCTGTATGTCGTTCGACCAGACACTTACAATATTTATTAATTTATTTTTGCCTTCCGACAATTGCAGATGTACCTCAGAAAACTTTCACTTAATGTCTCATACTCTACATGAATATTAAACCATTACGAAGTACAACAACACATGTAGGACTTATTTCTACTGTCATTTACATCGTAAAAGTATCTCCTCTTCAACTTACCAATGACAATCCTGATGGTATCCTACATGCGTTCGTAAGCAACATCATTATTTCGTTTGCCCTCCGACAATTGCAGATTGAGCACCACACAGAAATAATACATACATATATAAATCACTATTTCATTCCGATTCTACACATGTTTGATCCAGTCGCATTCTACAATGTGTCCGTATTCTACACGTGTTTGATCCATTTGTATCCTACATGTATGCTTATATATGTGTTCGATTCTACACCTGCTTGATCCATCCGTATTCTACATATATATATGCTTGATCCCTGGACGATACGTTCGTATATATATATAAACTATAACTATGAAATGTTTAAATGATCATAGTTACAACATTGTGTATCAGTTGAACTCGTTGGATATTGCTTCAGTGGGTAGACGTACCCTGCATGTATGTGCGCAAACATATATGTATATATAGATAAAAATATTTTCTCCCATCATTGGACTCTGTCCTCTGCCTCTCTGGCCTCTATCCTCCACTTCCACTAGCTAGACGACCCAACCAACCGGGGTTACATAGGAGGGGGGGGCTGGACTCCCTCCTGCGGTTCCTGCCTGAGATATTTTTATCGCGAGAAGGGTACGGCAATCCCTTCCCTCGCGACTTACGAAGGCGATTATGGTTTACTAACAACGAGCTTTCTTTGCAGCGCGTCGCTTTCATCGTAGACCAGGATTTATTTAGTGAGAAAAGAACTCACTCTGCCGGGACTCGAACCCATCACCTGGCCCTCAGAAGGCTGCGAGGTTAACCACTAGACCACCGGGGCGACCTATGTCATCGTCTAACCACGAATGGCCGCTCTGCCATTTGGGTTAGGGACCGAAAACTAAAACCTCGTTAATCAATTCCGTACGTTCCTCAGATATCGGCTGGGCACTCAGCAGGCTGCATCACCAGTATCTCGACCCCTCGACGTCCTTCTCTTTGTCGGTGAGTCCATATTCCGTCGTCCTGGCAGTAGATCAACAAACCCTCTCAGCAATCGCATCGAGATACTCGGCGTAGCGAGAGTAGAGCGCAGTTCCTGAAGGCAACACAGGGAGGAGCACCCCTACCGCGCATTATTTTCGGTCTACTACCAAGTCGTAGCCAATCGCTTGGTTTTGATACACTTCAAGGTCCGAGCCGGGGGTATCAATCGACGCGTATACACTACACGTGATACACTACTGCTAATCTTACAGGACCGCTAGCAAGTAAGAGGGCACAAAGAGGACGTGGCAATGTGACCATGTCCTTGGCGATGTCCAGACAGATGCTGCGGCCCCCGCTTAAGAAAAAGGCAGTTAGGAATTTGAGCCTCAAAATATCAAATATTATATCAGAACTGGCATACATTTTTGACGCCCGGTGAAGAAGACCCGATACCCCAAAATATGCCTTGAAGTATGAAATATGGCTGCTGGTAGTTCACAAAGGAAATGCCAATCCGAATAGGGGGTAGGGCCGTTATTTTTGATTTTTTTTTTGCGGATCCGAGGACACATTTCACGAATTCGTGTGTGTGTGTGTGGCTGACATTATTGGCATCGACCGCGCTAACCGGCTGACCAATGAAAAGACGTCAGTCTCAGTGCGGTTGAAAACACAAAACACTTCTATCTGCCATGAACTGGGACCCCGTGAGGGGGCAGCATGGGGGAGGCTAAACTATCTTTCGGATCAAACACAGAAACGGTAGCAACAGAAGAAAACTGCACGCGTCTACCAAGGCTTACTACCTTGTACTCGAGTTCGTGTAGGAGTACTTCCACCATTCCCCTCCTTGCTTTCGCTACCATCATTCTGATCATCATTTTGACAAGAATCTCTAGGCAGTTCTTCCCTAGCCCTACGTTTTTTGTTTTGGGAAAGTTCATCTGGCTCAAACCCTTTGCTCCCTTACACTCCTCCATGTTTTCCTCCTCCATCGTCGTCTCTGTCCTCCTCTCTTCCCTTTCCCTTTCCTTCGTCTTCGTCACTCCCAAAAGAATAACCCTCATTACTATCGTTGTCGCAGAGATCCCAACCGATTGGCCCTGGTGGAAGTTGGTCGATCAGTAGCCCATGACGTTTGAACAACTCGCGAGTTCGCATCGACAGAAAACGAGCTATTATTAATAGCTCGAAGGTAAACCGTCTCCGAATTCTGACAGTGTGAAAAACTTTCAGGCGAACTACGGCTCTTTCGTCGTGAAAATTCCCCGGACAGAATGCTTCGTGAGCCAAGTGGTTGACGATAGCAACGATGAGTCGATTGGTGCCTTTGCCAAGACCACCATTCGTTGAAAAAGCAGCAGTAAGGAGGGTAGATCTAGACGGGTTGCAAGTTCACGCATAGTGATTTGCCTTACTTGCAGCTTGATCTTCGAGGGCGGATCCTGGCTTTCGGATGGACTTGTCGATGCTTCGATTTTCAATTGGCTTTACGACAGTAACATCTAAAAGAATGGACTTGGTGCAGAGTTNTGTCGATGCTTCGACCTGCTGATGGGTTGACGATTGTTACGTCGATCAGAATGGACTTGGTGCAGAGGTCCTCTTCCTTCTCTCCTGCGTGTAATCCTGGGGGGATTACCAAATCCATCTTGTATAGCCCCTTTCCCCTACCAGTGCCTGTGGTAAAAGGGGAAGAATCCTCAACGGCGATGGGCATATGGCACTCGCGCAGTGTCTTGAGGATTACTCGAACCATTCTGTTATGGAGGAAGGTTGATGCGCCGGTCTCGGTGCAGACAAGGGGGTGGGCTCGGCTCAATCGGTCCTTGCGTGGTAACAACGTACCTGCACCATAAATTTTGCCTGTGTCGCAGTCTGTTCGATCGTGACTCCCCAGTACACGACCGATTGACTCCCGATATAGATCAGGCTGCATTCTTTCATCTGCTGACAGCCCTTGCGTTGTCAACCACGACAAAACTCCCTTGCCTTTCGCTTCCTCCAAGCGGGTCAGTGCCCTCTTCTTTGACATTTCCTCGCCTGCTACCTTCTGCAAGTCGGTCTCCACCATGCGACGCACTGCTGCATGAAGAGGTTTCGAAAGGAGAGCTTGGGCTCCAAAGACGTGGTAGTGTTGCCCAAATTCATTTCGGCTGTAGGTAGACGTTGGTTGGTGTTCCACGTCAGGGTTTTCATTTTCACTGTGTTTTCCCGCCTTCCCCGCTTCCAACAGGTAAACTCCTTTGAGGTCGGGGGTTAAACTCATCACTTGTGGCAAGTTTAGCCCATGACTGCCCAACAGCTTTTTCAAGCTTGTCTTTGGTGATTATTTCCTCTAGCTTCTTCAGCGAGTCAATCAGAGCCAACCCTGTCGGTAGCTGGGCAAGCCGGGGTAGACATTGCTCAACTGTGTATCCTGTCGATGCTTGCACTGACTTGGAGAACACCAGCGCTTGCCCTGCTACAAAAGCCGATTCTCGAATGAGAACATTGCTCGTGATTCCTAGACCTCTTTCACGCATAGGTAGGTGCATCTGTGCCCGAGCTGTCCCTTTGAAGAAATCTACCTCCTTGCTCTTCGTCAGGTCTGCGCGTACTTCTTTCTCCGTTGGTATTCTCATGCTGTCGGCCATCTTGCCGAGGAGGATCTTACTCATTGCCCACGTCATCATGTTGTCATATTTTCAAGCGGCAGAGATACTAATAGACGGTGCAATCGTCCTCAGCAGATGGAACAAACGTGGCACACCAGATCAACGCAGCAGTTGATAGCTGGCTTGAGGGTCGTCAAGCGTTGCTAGGCGGAGTATCAATTCCGCCGGGTCACCTCGGGCGAATTTGGAAACGAAAAAATTCTGGAACTCTTCTGTCCCTACTGGGACCCCGACTACTGGCATGCCACCTTCAGCAACTGACAGACCAATTTTCGTCAATTATTGCTGTTCCTCGTTTGTCAAAGAGGACATGCAAAGACCTTGTGTGTGTTTTTTTTTTTTTTTTACGGATCCGAAGAAGGGAAGTCGATCCCGATTTTCCGCGACGCTTCGATTTCGCGGATCCGTGAAAAACCAGACGCTGCATCGGGCACGCCTGACAGTACACCGCACAAGCATCCCACAGTGCCCGGCCGCCGCTACAGCGCACAGAAGTACATCAGAGAGTGGCATAGTCGCCCGAGAACCATGGGTGACAGCAAAAATCGCAGTTAGTCGCTCCTCTCGAAGGGCCTGATCAATGGGGCTGCTCTTGCTGTGGTCTGCCCCAGGCGACCAAACCCATTTTCCTCGCTGCTGACACGTGAGAGTGGCGCATGTTTCCCTGCTATCAGCGTCGCCCTGCTGCAGTCGGACAAGCTGTCTGGCTGCCGAGTCGTCGTGTGTGCTGCCTGTGCAACACCAAACCCTGCTGCTGCTGCACCACTTGCTCCCATGTAAGGCAGTTTCGCGGGCGGCTTAATGTGCCTCTTCATTCTCCCGGGCGTGGCAGAACCAATAGTCTAATGGTTGTATCAGTCATGGCGGATAGGGTTCCCACACGATGTTCTGCTACTCGTCGACGTGGGCGAAAACGGCCATACCAAAGCAGATAGAGTGTAGTTGTTGAAAAAGTCTGCGCTCACTCGGTAGAAAGCGGCGGATTTTTCCCTCGGATCCGCGAAAGGAAAGTTATGAGATCGTGAATTGTGTGCTGTTCGAAAATAGTGGGTCTGAATGAAACTGGGAACGAACCCAAAGGAAAATTGCGCGTTCAAAAATTCACGAAGCAATTGCGCCCCTGACGACACGTCTGGGGGCTAACATGTCGAAGGAACAAAACTGGCACTGCTTTTTGCTGCTGCAGTATAGCGGTACAGCACCCAGAAAGGTGGTGAGAGAAACAACAGAGCAATTAAGCAAAAAGGAACCCCACAAAAAAGTTTGCCGCCATCGACGGCAGCATTTTGGCGCGTTCTTCCAAAACATTTTTTGAAAGCTCTTTCGACGGCACCGCCCGCTTTTTGTCTGCGGTTCCATACTAAAATTGTGCTTCCATTTTTCAGGACGCCGTCCGAACCTCGTGAAAAAACTAGGTTCCTCAGCGACACCGAGTTCGGTGTATGCGTGTATGTGTGTGTTTATTCGTTTTTGTTTTTGCGCTCCATTTATATACTCCGGAATATATCACGAGTAGTCCTGCTGTATTTCAATACTCGTCAGTTTACAGACACCAAGACTCGTTTTACGCGGAGCTTTCGAAGGGGGAAGACTATTCGAACTTGTGCGGCAAGCATTGTTCTTACAAGAGGTTTTCAACACCTTGCCAAGGAATCTTGCAACATGGGGACTCAGAGTTGTTCGTTTTCGTTCAAGTGCACTCCAACACGGCCCAGATCCGGAGCTTGATCCAAGAGGTTTGTGCTTCGCTCTCGAGGGCAACTTGCTGGTGGACCCCCTTTGTTTCTAAAAAAATACCAATCCGAGAAAACCGGGGATCGCTCTTTTAGCTGATGTCCTTCGAAGAAACATATACCCATACAACACGTGACGTGCGGAGAAAGTCAACATGATTTTTCTTTCGCCTCTCGCAAGCTAACTCCTTGTATCCGAGGTTTTGCTCATCAACAACCTTTTAATTTATGGGGTTTTGGTCGTCCCAGTTGTTATTGCTCGGTGTTTCCCCCTACAAATATATCAGATCAAAACCATCCAGAGCGCCAAACAAAGGCTTCATCGGCCTGGCCGGATGAAGGCTGTTTGATCGCCAAGATGGTGGACTTGAACATCGAGAGTCTCACGGTTCATGTTTGAGCTGCTGGCCTAACAGTTTTTTTCGCGCGACATCGGGGATTACGCGATGATCTGAATCACTTGAAAAATATGCTCATCTAAAGTGAGGCCTTTTTCTTCATACAGTGAACTTTACACACCTTTCGCCGTCTTATTTATCTTTTTTTTTTCTTCTTGATATCACAAAACAAATCCATCTCCATCTATAGATGTAAGTGGGGTTTCATCACTGACATGTGGGTGTGTATTAAATGCAGTGGGTATGGTCGCCTCTCTCGCCCGTGTGTCGGCAAAAGGTATAGCTACCTTTCCCATTGGTAGGCAGCGCGGACCATAATTATGACAGTGTATCATTTCATGTTTTGCTTCTATTCCTCGTAAAACTTCCACTTGCAAGCTGTGATGCTCAGGCGCGCGGGGTACGTAGCCGTTGCCTCGAGCAGTGGTAGGGATATCGGAAAGCCAGAGCCATCGCACCTTACGGAAGCACCAAGTCACTAGTTCGTACCAGCGAAGCTCGGTGGGTCGGTAGTGTGGGGAATTTGGACTCGTTGCTGGTAAGTAACTGTGTTGGACTTTTTCGCTGATTGGTCGTTAGGCCCTTCATCGGGATTGGCGAACTCGTTGTATAGACTAGTTTGCTGAGGAAAGGCCAACAAAATCACAGATAGATTCTGACGAGCAAGGGCAAAGTGTTGTCTCGTCGTCAGCTATTTCCGTCTAGCAAATTTAAATAGGACTCACCACCCACGGCGTCAACCCCGGTGACTCACAACATGGTTTGGCGCGGCTCCATTCAGTTTTTATTTCGTCATTTGTTTCAGATATTGAAAGGGGGGGGCATACTGAGGCCACAGATACTGTGTTAAGCCTGTCGGGCAGCTGCTGCTTTGTCCCAAGCAGCTGCGACTTTCCCCTAAAGACTGAAGTTTTGTATTTTCCTGATGATCTCGCGTATTTAAGGGCACTTACATTTCTTGCCGTCTCTACGCCCGAAGCAGACTGCTATTATGCTGACGGGCAACACGCAATAATATCACCCTCGTTCCCTACCAAAACGTGCTTGTTATCGACGCATGAAAGTCACGTAGCCCGCACGGTGTTTGCTGCATTTGTGGGTGATCGTTCACCTTCTTCGTCCATTCGTAGAACGAGGTGTACAGGTATCCGGACTTCGGGGTATGCCTTTATAAAGAGAACGGCTGCGATAGTCTTGATGGTCATATCGCAGAAGGATGCGTCACTTCATCCAACTCGACGGAGTTCGGGCCGTCGACGGCAGAGTACAGGGGTCAGGAATTATCTCCCACCGACGGAGTCTGGATACCAGACACAGCTGAAGAATGGGACAAAAGGCAAGATATTTCCGTCGACCCGAGATTCACAGGTCCTGAGGTGAGCGGTGTTCCCCGGGTTCTTTCTCCTTTCGCTAGAGTTTTTTGTACTGACAAAAACAACGAAACGTTTGCGCAGACCTGATAGACTATTGTTGTCGTTGTCTTCACATTATCCGTATGCCAATTGCAAAATGCGAAAATCTGGCGAAGACTCTCGGCCCGTGGTCACGAAAGTGCTAGAGCCATCTGAGGATCTAAAGAACACGCACATGTAGCAAGAAAAAGGTATTAAAGAGCCCGAAGAGGTACTACTGCACCTATACTCCCTGCAGCATCCTATGCGTGCCCAAAACTGAACTACACGTCCGTCCCACCGTTCGACTACTACAGTAACATTACCCCCTCCCTGTCCCACTCCGTGTGTGTGTGTGTGTGTTTTTGTCCTATATATTATGGTGATAATCCCCCCATTTTTCGTGGTGAGACGTGTACTACACTCTTCCTGCAGCGTAGTATGTAGAGCACTCCACTTTTCAGTGTATTTTTTCGTACAACTACAACCATCCAGGGTCACACAGGAGGGGGTTGTAAACAGCGGGGCTTTTTCTTATTTTTATTTCTTTTCATGCCCCACCTTCCTTGGTGCGTGCTGAATTTTATTTTTATCGCGAAAAGGGTCCAGCCGTCCCTTTCCCTCGTCAACGGTGCTAACGTCGAAGTTTGGTACTCACAAGAGCTTTTAAGCTAAATTTTACCCGCAAATTTCGTAATTTTTCCACCCCATGGGGACTCGAACTCATGACCTCTGCGACTACTTGTAGCGGATTACGAGGATACCACTAGTCCACCGGGGCGACCACTCTGTACCCCAACGAATGATTGCCGACTACACCATACTGCTGTCTGAAGTGCTGTCTGTACCAAAAGACCATGCATGGTAGGCATGGAACAAGAAGCTGGCGGGGCACAAAGCTGCTGTCTATGCTCGACGGGAAACAATATAGAAGAAATCGAACCATTCATTCGTCTTCAAGTCCACGGCCAACAACGACTACGAGAGTCAGTGCAGGCCCGTCCGTCATAAAGGCAGAGCGATCGGGTGGGGGTCAACAGTACAGCTACCTGCGCACGCTAGTGGAAGAAGACTGTGAAGGGGCCCAGTTTGCTTGGTTGTGGCCCTCTTTCTCTGCGAAGCTTGCTCTTTCTGGACCATCTTGGCGATCAAACAGCCTTCATCCGGCCAGGCCGATGAAGCCTCTGTTTGGCGCTCTGGATGGTTTTGATCTGCGTTGAGCTCGAACCGAACAATGACGACGGGTGACCCTGGAAGGCTCCAACATTCCCTGATTTTCTCTCTCCAGAATCCCTACGTGGTCTCCATTCAAGTCATACGTCTCTCTCCTGTGTTCATAATCAGCTGACCATATCTAGTTTCAAAATCAATGTTGATTGAAAACCCACCATGGCAGGGAAGGGGCAATGCCGCCTGTACGCCGGACCTGCCTTGACCACGAATACATAGAAAAGGATTTGGTTTGCAATTCGAGTGAACTCAGAAGATGCAACAAACGTAGATTTCGTGTTGTCCAAGTGTCAACCCATCTTCCACTTAGACTGTAAGTGAGGATGATGCGAAAATCAGACCTCAACAGTATCCTTTGGACATGGATTCGTCATACATTTCTGGCACCCACCAATAAACGGCTCAGTTCGATTCATGTTTCATATTGAATTGCCCTGTGAAGTTCAAAACACAACCATACCTGCTCTAATGATCGCATTGTCCTGTTTGCCTCTTATTTGTCCTAGCAGGCAGCTCCGCGTTCACGCGCAGTGTCATGAATGATCCATTGAGAAAGACGTTGTGTGGAATTTCACTGAGAAGGCGCGAGTTTACCATTACTAATACCGGTTAAGGGAGCAGACAGTGCAAAATATTGCGAAAGTTTGCAAACTTTCACCCGTATTTTTGACATGTTACTTCCTTATGGGAGGAGAAAGTCCAACAAAAAAGGTTTAGACTTAGGCATTCGACAAAAATCGCGGGATCTGGTGCAAAAGTTTGCAAACTTTGGCACGGACAAAGTGGCGTGCGAAAGTTACGCGGCATGACGTTAGCCAATCCATGTCGAGCACGTATATCTACACACGAGACAAACACACGTGCAGACCCTTTGCCGCCACACGCACACTCGCGATTCACGTGACAGATGAACGGGCGAGTCAGAATACTTGAACGAGTCGAAGTTGCCTGCGATAGCTGGTGCTGGTGTCGGTGTGAACTTACATAGAGAGTCGACGTCAGTCACAGCACTTTATGGCAAAGTGACCGCGATAGCAAGTCTTCATGTTGAAATTGTTCGATTGAGAGGCATCAAGACAGATTGACACCACCGACTGGTCAGGTATTTTTGTGGGGCGCTCTTTAAGCCGGTTTCGCTGTGTGGCATAAAAATACGTGCTTGGCTTTTCACCGTTGCTAAAAAAATAGGGCACACGCCCCCGCAATCGAACAGTCCCGTGAAGTTCGTTGATTCCGCGTTGTTCAAGAAGAGGACTTTCTTCGCCCCATCAGGAACGTGCACCGAAAGTCTTTTTTCCGAAAGTTCCCGACCAGAAGTTGCGAGAAAACTTTGACATTTTTCCGACCTTCCTGCTTCCGTAATAACCAGTGTAAGCTGCTGATCCTGAGCCCCGACGCCCGTGTTTGAACTCGCCACCCGATTTCAGAAAAAGTATTGCGTCTTGTTCAATATGTCGGAGATTGAGTACAAGTTGGGCGAAGAGCGCGTTCAAGAAAACTACCTGGACTATACTAACCTGAGAGTGAGTCTTTGAAGATAAAATATGTAGGGCTTTGGATTCACGGCGGTGCCGCAGTCCAATCACACAGACCAGGCGGTACGAGAGGGAACCATTCTTTTCATAACTAGAGCAGGATGAAAGGACTGTTGTAGAGTATGTTGCCAAAATGAGAGGTAGGCGCACTCCATACTGGTCCTTTGAAGGATGCAACCCGATCGCCGCGCCTTCTTTCGCTTTTTGAACAGATGGCCTGGTACCCAAGCGGCAGCAAGGAAAACGATTCTAACACGTGCACGACGGATTTGGCCAGTCTGGTACCTCACAGGTATGTTTTTGTTTTCATAGCACCCTTTCAACTTTTGTGGCCCGGATATACTGCTTGGGGTCTGCTTGTGTAGCTCAGGAAATGCGGAAACTTTAGAAACTGTCGACGCCGAATGGTATTGCAGCCTTTGATTTTGTTGTATAAGTAGGTAATTCTGTTTCGTGGTGACCGACTACGGGTATTCGAACGCCCTTGCGAACACGAGAACCGCCTACGGTGCGTAGTTACCGAGTTTGTAAACGGCTAGTTTCGTGCACCATTGCCGTTGCTGTAGAACATCGTCTGTTGACTGTTGCCTCGTCTCTAATGGTCTGTTCGCAGTGCGTCTATAGCATCGATTGCCCTGTGCAAACGCGATTGTGACGTCCGTCTTCGTTCCGTGTCTCAGTATGTCCGTCGTCATCCACCTGTTCGACGAAGTCACCGACACAATCGCCAACGGATTTCAAGTTGCCTACACCTGCAGGACGAATACATCCAAGAGCCACATGTTCACCGACGTTGTAAGCCAGCATGGAACTGTAGCGTTATGTTTGCGAAATGCGCCTACGTGACAAAGTACCGTGTAGAACGATTTGAAGTTGTTTGAACCTACGTTGGCTCAGTGCCGGCTAGCGGTAATTCCTGCACCACTTTGTGAATCACTTTGTAAACAGCCGTTGGCGTTTTGTGTGGCGCACTGCGTGACGCTCGAGAAAATCGTGTGTTATGCCGGAGCCAAAGCCCGAGGATGGTGTAGAACCGTTAGGAAATATCCGACATCGATGGGTCACGCTGGTGGAACTTGCGGTTGTTTTCGAGCACGAAGAACATGCAGAGTGTTGAAAATATCACTAACGTAAAGCACCGACATTTTTCCGCTGGACGTTTTCGTTTGCCCACACTGTTGCATGTCCATCGGTGTCTACCTATCGTGCAGGTGCTCGCACTTACCGAGACGAAGAAACTCGACGGGACGACGGACCGTTCATACAGGGCTGAGACCATATATTCAAACCCGTACGTCAGTGATCAGGTGAGGCCCGTCCACCCGCGGCGCTGTTAGTACCTGCATCAGTAGTATTGAGCAGGCACATAAATGTGTCGTTTAAGGTTTCCGTAGTATTTTATTTTGCGTTCGGCAGGATTCCAAATTTCTCTGTAATTGACTTCATATGACACACACATGTATCACTATCATATTACGAATCGTTTGACCGGGTTGTTGTTGTTGTTGTTGTTGTTGTTGTTGTTGTCTTCACATTAAACCGTAAGTCAGTTGCCAATTCCAAAAGTCTAGCAAGAAGACTTTCGGCGCGTGGTCACAAAAATGCTAGAGCCATCAGAAGATCTGAAGAACACACACACTTAGCAAGAAAAGGGTGCTCAAGCCCGAAGAGGAACACCTTAAATCCCTGCAGTACGCTTGGTTGCTCAAAACTGAACCACACGTCCGCACATCACATTGGACTACAGCAGCATCATCCCACCCCCTATCCCAATATGTTTACCAAGGTGAAGTTTGCGACTACAGCAGCGTACTCCTGTCCGGAGAGCTGTTTGTACTAAACACGATGATAGGCATGGAACAAGACACTGGGACACGCTGCCGGCTGCAGTGCTGTCAATGCGTCCGTCCGCGGAACACCCAGTGAACAAGAACAACCAACCGGAAGCCATCATTACATTTGACGATTCCCCGAATCTATCCCGATCGATTGTGTTGCTTAGGCACAGCAGTGTAACCATCGACACTGACTAGGAATCATTCCGCGTTGAAGGGGTCTTTCACGATGCAGGTACACAATTACGGCATCCGAGGTATTCGCGCCATCTCTGCCGCGTCTCTCTACAAAACCAGTGATTTCATCACACACACCCAACACCGATATTCAGGAAAAAAGTGAGAAAATGAAACTAAATGGCACAAGGTGTTTGTCCGCATACTCCAGTGCCGCTGCTCCGGTACCGTTGTGATAAGTGGTTGCACGACCACAATCGACCCGCTCCACTTCGAACACGCTCTCGTTGCCGTCCATCCCAGTCGGTTCCTCGCGTTCTCCCTCGTTGCACTTTGGGCACTTGGTCTGAAAAATTCTAGCGCCGAAGGGGTCAACCAGCCCAGTCCTCAGCTCGTCACCGCCTGCTCCCTCCGGTTTTGATGGCGAAGCCAGGGCACTGGGATAGCTCCCTCGAGCACACCTGGGTAGGGCCGTGTGCGTAGTGCCCGTTCACCTTTCTGATGGAGTCTGCTTCCGCGTACAATAATAAGATGGGCATTGCTGCTTACACGGACGGCCATGAAGGCCCGCGCATCTGCATTTTTGCACCTGACCCACCAGTGCCGACCCAGCTCCATCACTACGCACGCCTCGCGGCGGGTGCGTAGCAGCAAGAACGTATCGGTCCCTTGAGGGTAAGTCTAGCCTTGCTCGCTAGAAAGACCCCCCCCCCCCCCCCCCCCC